ATGCTGATTTTCGAACTTGACCTGCATAATATGAATATTCATCAGTTCTGTAAGTTTCAAGCCAAAAGGTAAAATGGTTTTTCACTTATTGTGTTATCGGTGTTATAAATATGCTGAAAAAAGGGAAAAAACAACACAACTTCCATCAAAATGGCCTGATCATGCTGATTTTCGAACTTGACCTGCATATTATGAATATTCATCAGTTCTGTAAGTTTCAAGCCAAAAGGTAAAACGGTTTTTCACTTATCGTGTTATCGGTGAAAGTGCACGGCGACGACGACAGACGCAGGTGATGGCTATATGTACAGACACATCTGTGTCTGTACATAAAAACGAGATAGAATATTTATTTTGTTACTCACATGAACCCCTATCATTAGGTTGCAGTTTCGTCTCAAACTTCGGTTTAGGCATCTTCCTAGGGACGGGCCCTGCCTGGATGCTGTACAAACTGCACGCGGAACAGTGGACTGTTGGTAAGTTTTGTGTAACGTTTTGATTTTATAACTAACGCCAATGCTAATATACCAGTAAAATGTTCCTAACCCTACGCATATTTGCACGTCCGATGAAGCCATTTGGATCGAATTACATTTTTTCATATGTATTGTAACAATGTGATGACGTAAAACAATACTAAATTTTACATTCCTAGAGCTATAATGTAACATTGGCAGCCTTGACAAGAACAAAAATACGACAGCATGCGTTGAACTTGCTGTAAGAAGAGATACATATCGATAAACATTTTACAGGAGGAGCCTGTTCCATTTCAGGTGTGGTACTGGCAGTTGCCGTCTTCTTCCACCTCACTGCCCAGTACATTACGGGGGCATACTCTATGCGGTTTGGAAGGTATGATAAGTTAGTGTTCATTACCAGAGACTGTGCAGCTGACGAACTAAAAAATAAGATTCGCTTGTGAAGTTGTAACATCAAAGATAGGTTCATTATTTTAGGTGTTTTGAAAAATGTCGTTTCATTGAAATGTCCTACATGTAGGTTTAGGAAATTTTAGGTCAGCTGCATAGGCGGCGTGGAGGATATGTTCAGACGTAAGGCTTTCATTTGTGTTCATAAAAAAAGACTGTACGTTGTATGCGTTAAACTGCTTGATGGTTTCGGTTTGCTAAAGATTGTCAATAATTAGCCTACATAGCAGGCAACCCAAAGAACGCGAGAAATATTCGGCAATGGATGTTCCTTTGGATTTTTTGGTATATCGAACAATCGTTTCTTTTCTTTTTCAGGTGGTTATTTTGCATGGTGGGTCTTATGCTTTCTGCCATTGGAATGGGGGTGGTGAGGATTCGTATTCAAATCTCAGAAACTTTCCAGTTCCTGGAATTTTTGTTTCAGTTTCTCTTTGGTGCACTATCCACTCAAAACTACAAAAATGTTACTAATATGTAAACATGATTTTTAAACAAGAGAATTATCTGTTCTAACTTTTAAAAAAAATCAAATTTGACGGAGGCGAAACAAGTTATTAAACTTAAAAGGTACTATAATTACAATACAGTGTTCAAAAATGTGTCTTGTTTTCCGAGGTCGCACATACTCACTCGTAATTGATTTTATTCCAGTATCCATTTGTCAGCAATGTGTGGGAAGTCCTGGGCCCCGAAATCATTGTCCGCATTGGTCAGGGAACAGTGCTCAGCGTTATAAGTCCACTCCTTGGTCATCTGGCGGACATCCGGCACCACGGCAACTACGGTGGAGTATACGGTCTTTATACTACGTCTTATAACTTAGGATTAAGTATAGGTTGGTGACACGTTCCGTTTATGTGTGCATATATTCCTTTGCGTCTTACGGTGATTGTTTGTTAAAGCAAGAGACTAGCCAATTTGACGCTACTCATACTGAATAGTTCGAAGTACTTTATTTCGTAATCTTTAAAAAATATTTTAAAGTGCACGCATGTTCAATTGAAAAAAAAACGGGTTCATTAACCTGTGTTTTATTGACAATCCTCTCCATTTTCAGGGCCAGTGTGTGGTGGTTCTTTAGTAAAAGTGCTAACTTTTGACTGGTAAGAAATCCATGATATTTTCATCTTAAATGTTACAATGAATTCTGTCAATATTCACCAATTTTAGCAAAATATCACTTAAGGACAAAAGAGGCGAAATATTACACATAGGCTAACTTTTTTATTTACGTTTTATCTTCAGTCCCCACAGTCAATTAATTCAGTTATCCGTTCAGTCAAATAAATGTATCCATACCTATCAGGCCCGTAGCCAGCAATTTCAAAGGGGGGGGTTCTTTTTCTGAAAAAGTGGACCTTTTACCATATAATCCCCATGTACCTAGGTCAAATTTTACCCAGAGTGGACCTTTTTCCAGCAAAAAGGGGGGTTCTTTCCAACCCCCCCGAACCCCCCCCCCCCCCTGGCTACAGGCCTGCCTATTCTCCAATCTGATCTCATGTCGATGAATTCATGACATTTTTCATCATGGCATTTTCAGTCATATATGTGCACAAAAAGTAATTTGCCTTGGAAGTGCTTAAGCATGGCCTCACACACGTATTGATCGATGATCGGGGGTACCCGAGATCAAAAGTGTCCAACCTCCCCGCCCCCAGACAGAATACAAATGTATACTGACCACAACCAGAAGACAAACATTTCTCTAACGTTTTCTTTGCCCTGCATCGTTACAGGTTATACCGCGTTACTGCAGTCATAATGTTTCTCTACGCTTTCACCTCGCTGGCATTCCGTGACACGCCTGCCGTCCAGCAAGGAAGCCCACCCAAACAGGTACTAGTGTCCCCCTCTTCCTTTTTTTTCACGAGTTAATATTTTTCAACATTCCATTCTTTGTGATTTCTGACATGAACATGTGCCTTTGCTGCGTTTGTTGTACCCTGTAATAATGTCCGTATCCTGCGCAACATTAAACCAGCCTTTTCAGCGTTAGGCTTTCTTTTTATAAAGCCTAGATTACATGTACACGGGCGCCGTGCGATGAAATTGTCCTTACGATTTTTTTTGAAATCGTAAGGATCTACAGGCTTCGCCGAGTAGGTCTACATTCCATGGCCTTTAATCCCTACGATTCCGTGTGATTTTGCACGGCCACCGTCTACCTCCGCTCAGGCGCGGTACGAAAAGGGTATTACGGGCACCATACGTGCATCGCATTTCAAATGTGATCTAGTGATTTGTGATTTGTGTCTATGCTATTCGTTTCCATCCCAAAGGTTTGAACATAAAATAAAATAAGCCTCTGATATGTCTTTTATTATGGCATTTTGAGAGTTCAGTTTTATACAAGAAATCAAGATCCCTCGGATATATATATATTTTTTTTTCTCCTTTTTTTTCAGCCAAGAAAGGGATACGGTGCAATCGACAAGAGTATCAACTAATTTATTCGACCTGTAGTATCCCCATAAGATTCTACCACGTGGAGCCATTCGTGATAAGATATAGATACCGAACTCGGATTTATGGTGCTATGGTTATAAAAATAAATGGAAACTTCTGCCTTCGTTTTGATTGTTATACATGTTGCACTTGCTTGCTGATTCCATTTGTGTAGTTTTTATACATTCATATATCGTTCTGGTGGATACAGTGTTTGATGAGAACCAAAGCAATTCCAATTCATAAGTCTGCATAAGCTTTTAAAGCCAATGAAAACATGATAAAATAAGCTTATGAAGCCACTGAAAACACATGATAAACTAACACTGTGTATTGAGCAGTCAGCGTGAGTACTGAATCTAGGAAACTGTCCTTCACCATTTTCTTCACATCGCACCGGGAAATCGTTAAAGTCAAGGGTATATCATCGCGACTGTGTACATCATAGCATGTACAGATACCAGTGTATACCCCGCCCGCAGGTCATCTGTGCCTGTTTAACTGTTCTTGTCTGTGTTACGAATAAGCACCTTGAAGAAAAATATGAATAAGTTAGTTGATTCAAAATGCGGTGTGACAGGAATTGTATTTCGCTAGGAACTGTAGTCCGCTCCCCATGCTCTATACTTGTGACCACCGGCCCATATACTGACTACGATACTCCCCGTTAACCCTAACTTGTGCACATATCATTCAAGTACGATACTACGGTTTCCATTCATACTTTACTCTGTGGCTGTTGGAATCATTTTTTTAGTTATCTAAAACTATATCTAGATCTGTTCATTCACCGATACATGCAACGATAGAATTATAAAAATGAAGAACACTAGAAGTATTTACCGTCTTTATCTCGGTGTACTGGCGTAAGCCGTACGATCCCCTGTAAAAAAAAAACATCAGTGTGAATGGCTGCCGTTAATTAATCATCCTTTTTAATTTTTAAATAACTTACTGAAATGTTACTACGAAAAAGAATACTTTATTAATAGTAAAAACATTGAAACTTACAATTCCCTTCCAAGCCCTGACATCTTGTACCCACCAAAAGGTGCCGCTACAGTCGTTTCATTGTAGGTGTTAACCCTGGGGAAGATAGAAATGTCTTTCTTAAAATATAGAAATGTATTATTTCATAATGTTTTTCAGTCTGACTACAGAAATACCATTTAATTTTTCAGTTAAGTAGTTTAACGCTAGTATAAGTGCTGTATTTAGTGGAACTGCCTTGTACAGTAGGTAGTGCAAATCTATTATAAAACACATATCAAGAGAATTGTTTTGACTTTATATTTCTGAAAAAAAAAAAATCAGATGACCACCACATAAAAGGTCATCTTACAACAAGACAGCAATTAGTGCCCAACAGACAATAACCATGACGCCAGTTTCTTACCAAACGGTGCCCGCCTTGACGCTGTTGGAGAATTTAATTGCCTTGTTTATATCTTGGGTGAACACGGCGGCTCCAAGCCCATATGTTGTGTTATTGGCCCTCTCGATTACTTCCTCCATAGTCTTGAACTTCATTATTTGTTGAACGGGACCAAATATCTAAATAGAAAATATGTCTCTTGTTCATGGCTTTTTACACGTTTCCCTTTCCAAGTACGTTATTCACTAAAATAGCAACAAGCATACATTTATTGACGAAAACGGGTGCATTTTCAACCAGGTTTCATTATCATTCTACGATGTTCGTAGGGGGAGCAACCAAGAAAAATTAATGAAGTTCAACTCTTACATAAAAATGTTGAGTTTGATACTTCTTTCGACCAAGCTTAGATATTACCTCTTCTTTAGCAATTCTCATGTCGTCTGTGACATCAGAAAACACCGTAGATTCCACGAACAGACCCTTGTCCCCAATACGGTTCCCTCCACACTGCAGCTTGGCGCCCTGTGAAACGCCACTTCTGATCAGGTCTATGATCTTGTTAAACTGCTCCTCATCAATCTAAAACACAAGAAATGTCTGTCTTCTTAAAAAGACAAATACCAGGCATGACACAGATATGCAGCTAGGTTTCTCCTTTACCTAAGTGTGCGATTACTATTATAATACAATGGTGCACATGTAAATATACGTTTCATACAAAAGATCAAAACTGGTCAACCCCTTGATACGTCCCTGACGTATAAAATCACCGATCCTAATACCTATAAATTAAAATAGTATAACAGTCCAAATATTAACACAAATCATAATTAGCTTTGTGGAGGTACTTATCAAGAACAACAATTTTTAATTTCACAATAAACTCAAACAAACCTGTGGCCCAGACTCGGTCTTGTAGTCCAGAGGGTTTCCGACCACTCTCCTAATGGCTCTCTCCTTTGCCCTCTTCACAAACTCGTCGTAAATTTCCTCCTGCACGAACGTCCTTGAACCAGCGATACAACACTGGCCCATGTTATCAAACACAGCCTTGTGGCTCTTCTCAATAG